CTTTAAAATGGATTTATTTTATGCTTATGAAACACTTCAGAACATAGTGGACAATGTCATTAATAGCAATTTTAGAAAACTTTAAAAACATTCTTCGTATTTAAATATATATATTCCTTCTAAAATATGAAGACATAACTAAATTGTTTTACGTGATATCCTTAAATCATATTAAGGATTATCAATATTAATTTAGTTTATTAAACATTAATTAATAACACCTAAGAATATATTAGCAATTGCTGTTATAAGGACCAAAAACTAGGTGTAAAATGTATGAGTGTGGCATCAGCATTTAAAAGTGGGTAAAAGGTGTTGCTGATAGTTCAATTGCTGAATATATTTACAGATTTGAAGACTACAGGGGTTTTAATCCTTCTGGGTCCACGGGATAAAAGTTGCACGTCAGAAAAATTCCCAGTACTAAAACCACCAGAAAGCAATATTTCCCATGAGATTTATTTTTCTCTAGTTCACTCTCAGATAATTTGAGAAAACTGAGATTATAATGTCAAGTGAATATTTTCTCTTCTTTTTTTGTTGATATAAAATATGTGTATGTATTCATGGGCACATGTGATATTTTGATAGATCCATATGATGTGTAATGATTAGACCAGGGCATTTAAGATATCCATTGCCTCAAACATCTTTGTATTGAAGCATTTCAAATTCTCTCTTCTAGTTATATTATTAAATATATAATATATTGTTGTTAACTATAGTCACTCTACTTTGCTATCAAACACTAACCTTAGTTCTTCTATGTTTGTATCCATGGATGGTAGGAAACCTATGGCCTTCTGGTTTCAAGATGGCTCTTTTTTAAGTGCAAAGTAGACAAGAAATGCTTCATCTGTCTCTGTGACACCCCTTTTAATGAAAAGATTTCTTCCGTAAAATTTGGATTCAATCAAAAGCCCTAGAACCTTAAAGCTCTAGGTTCCCCATCTCTGAATGAGTAAGAGTATGAAATGTTAATCTTTCTGTGCCTGGCTTAATTTAATCAATGACCTTCAGTTCCATTCTTGTTGCTACAAATGACAGGATTTCGTTCTTTTTTGTGGCCAAATAATAGTCCATCGTGTGTATATACTCCACTGTCTTTATCCGTTTGTCTGGTGGTAGAAACTCAAGTTGATTCTGTATCTTGGCTATCGTGAAGAGTGATGCAGTAAACATGGGATGCAAATGTCCCCTGGATATAATGGCTTCTCTCCTTGGATAGATACCCAGGAGTGACATTGCGAGAGAGCATGGTAGTTCTACTTTTAGTTTTTGATGAACTGCCTTGTTGTTTTCCATAATGGCTACGCTGATTCACATTCCTATGAGTACTGTGTTAGAATTCCCTCTTCTCTTCATTGTTGCTGGCATTTTATTTTATTTTATTTTATTTTATTTTATTTTTTGATGGGAGCTATTCTATCCAGGACAAAATTTTATCTAATGTGGTTTTGATTTTTGTTTCCCTGATGATTACTGATAGTGAGCATTTTTTCATAAACTTTTTGGCCATATTCAGATCCTTTGCCTACCTGTTAATGAGATTATTGGAGGGGGATTGCCATTATTTGAGTTCCTTGTTCATCTGTGTATTAGTCCCTTGTCAGATGGATAGTTTAAAATATCTTCTCTGATTACAGATTGTCTTTTCACTCTTTGGACTATTTCCTTTGTTGTGCAAAAACGTTTTAGTTTAATATAGTCCCATTTCTGTATTTTTGATTTTTGTTCTTTGTGCTTTTGAGGTATTAGCCATAAAATCTTTGTCTAGACCAATGTTTGTTAGTTTGTTAGTTCTAGTTAGTTTTATGGTTTTAGGTCTAATATTTAAGTCTTTAATCCATTTTGAGTTGATTTTTGCATATGGCAAGAGATAGGGGTATAATTTCATTTTCTGCATACTGACATCCAGTTTTCCCAACAGCGTTTATGGAAGAGGGTGTCCTTTCCCCAATGTGTGTTCTTGGTACATTTGTCAAGAATATTTTGGCTGTAAATATGTGGATTTATTTCTAAGTTCTCTATTCTGTTCCATTGGTCTATATAGCTGTTTTTATACCAATACCATGCTTTTTTAGCTACTATAATTTTTGAGTATATTTTGAAATCAGGCAATGTGATGCCTCTAGCTTTGCTCTTTTCACTCAGTATTGCTTTGACTATTTGGGCTCTTTTATGGTTCCATAGGAATCCAATTTTAGGATTCTTTTTCCTGTTTTGTGAAGAATGTTAATGTTACTTCATATGAATCGCTTTGAGTAGAACTGTCATTTTAACAATATTAATTCTGATCATAAGTATGGGATTCTTTCCATTTTGTCCTCTTCAACTTCTTTCATCAATGCTTTATAGTTTTCTTATAGAAATCTTTCTTCTATGTGGTCCTATTTATTCCTAGATATTTTATTTTTTTTGATAGCTGTTGTGAATGGGATGGTTTTCTTAATTTATTTTTAAGCTAGTTTGTTATGGGTGTATAGAAACACTTTTGATTTGTGTATGTTGATTTTGTATTCTGGAACTTTCTTGAATTCATTTATCAGTTCTGAGAGTTTTTTGATGGAGTCTTTTTATTAACGTATATAAAAGATCATGTCATCTATAAAGATGGACAATTAACTTCCTCCTTTTCTAGTTTGGATGTCTTTTATTTCTTTCTCTTGTCTGATTGCTCTGGCTAAGACTTCCAGAACTGTGTCAAATAGGAGTAATGAACATGGGCATCCTTGTCTTATTCCAGTTCTCACAAGAAAGGTTTTCCCCATTTTATAATGTTAGTCACGGGATTGTCAAATATGGTCTTTATTATGTTGAGGTATAATCCTTCTATGCCTGATTTGTTAAGAGTTTTTATTACAAAGGAATGCTGAATTTTATAAAATGCACTTCCTGCATTATCTGGAGATAATTGTATCATTTCTGCCCTTTGTTCTGTTAATGTGCTTTATCACCTTTATTGATTTGAGTATGTTGAATCACACTTGCATCCTGCTTAATCATGGTGTATTCTCCTTGTTACATTGTTGGATTTGGTTTGCTAGTATTTTGTTGAGAATTCTTATATATCATCAGGGTCATTGGCCTGTAGTTTTTCTTTTTTGTTGTTTCTGGTCTAGTTTTAGTATTAAAGTTATACTGATCTTGTAGGATGAGTTAGGTAGAGTTTCCTCATCTTCAACTGTTTTGAATAATTTGAGAATAATTTTAAATAATAATTTGGTGTTAGTACTTTATAAGTTTCATAGAATCCACCAGTAAGGCCAACTGGTTTTGGCTTTTCTTTGTTGGGAGATTTTTCATTACTGATTCAACCTCGTTACTCATTATTTGTCTGTTCAGATTGGCAGGGTTGTTTTTTTTAACACTTTGAATGTATCATCCCATTTTCTCCTAGCCTGTACAGTTTCTGCTGAGAAATCTCTTGTTATTCTGATGAAGATCTCCTTACATATGACTTGATACTTTTCTCTTGCTGTGTTTAGAGTTTTCTCTTTTCTCTCTTTGTCTTTGATTTTTGACAGTTTGATTAAAATGTGTCTTGGAGAAAAAAAGACTTTTTGGAGTTGATCTATTTACGCATCTTTGAGCTTTCTCTATCTGGATGTCTCTATCTCTTACAAGACTTGAAAAGTTTTCAGCTAGTATTTTGTTAAATATGTTTTCTATGTTTTTGCCCATCTCCTCCTCAGGAATACCCAAAATTTAAATATTTGGTCACTTTATGATGTTCCATGTGTCACATAAGCTTGTCTTCATTCTTTCTATTTTTTTCCTTTTTTATTTTGTGCTTGACTAAGTTATTTAAAAGACTGGTCCTCAAGTTCAGAAATTCTGTCTTCTGCTTTATCTAATTTATTACTGGAATACCCAATCAATTTTTTAATACTTATTTATTGATTCCTCAGTTCTAAGATTTCTATTTGGTTGCATTTTATAATATTTGTCTCTTTGTTGAATTTCTCATTCCAATCATGAGCTGCTTTTATTATTTCTTTGTATTATTTGTGTTCTCTTGTATCTCACTGAACTACTTTAATATCCTTATTTGGAATTTTTTTTCATAAATTTCGTATATTTCTTTTTTGTTAGAATCTGTCACTAAAGAACTATCACTTCCTTGAAAGTGGCAGATTTCCTTGCTTTTTCATGCTTCTTTATCTTTATGTTGATATTATGCATCTGATGTAACAGCCACTTCTTTCAATTTTTTGGAATTGCTTTCATAGGGAGACTTTTTCATACAGGTGTGTTTACAGCACTGAGTGTGTTGGGTGCTTAGGCTGGCATGGGATTATATACTCAGAGTTTTGCTCCTTCCATGTGAATGTGCCAGGTGTGTTTGGTCCACTTCTCACATTTTAAGTTCATCATTAAGTTATTCTTTCTGTGCAATGGACATTTTATATCAATTGTCAGAAGGACAACTGGGCGTAAAGCAAAAACTAGAGTTAGGTCTCCCTCTCATTTTATTTTGGCTAAAATAAATATGAATTAATAAATTTTTTTATTTTGCTTGATTCTCTTAGCTGTGAAATTCTAGGATGTCTGAGCACAGCAAGTTACCACTTTACTGTTAGGAAATACTTTATCTTAGAGAGCCCCTTTTCTAATCATAATTTTAAAAATAACAATGATATCTATCTTCTCAATGTTAACACATCTCTGCAAGTAGCTGTTATAATAGCAATATTTGTTTTTACCTGCCTGAAAGTAATCATATGTAATGTCTTTTTAATTCTTATTCCAACAGAAAATTGTCAAGGATAATTATACACACATGCATAGGGAAAAGACTGAAAGGATATCTAGAGACAATATTGTTTGGGTGGTTATGTGTAAACAGTGGAATGGTGGAAATTTTAATTGTCTTTGCTGTATTTTTTCTTCTTTTTCAAATTTTAGGCAAAGAGCATTATTTTATAATAATCAGAAATAAATTACAAGTATTCTAAGACAGAAGTGTTTGGATTCTTTCTTTTCACATGATCACTGCAAGCATAAAAGTTCCTTGTGTATCTGCTTTCTCTGCATAGTGACTCCCAGGAATATTTTGAGCAAGGCCCAACAAGAATTGGAGGAACTTACAAAAAACTAGTTTACCGTGGATACACAGATGCTTCCTTCCGAACACAGACGAAAAGAGAAGCACATCTGGGAATTCTTGGTAAAATTCTACTTATAGCACCTGGGGTTACAAACCATTTATAAATATTCTGTGCAATCAAAACAGTATTCACCAACTCAGTTATAGATGGTTTAAATATAATCTTATGGAACCTTCTGAAATCAGTATGTTGATTCACCCAATGGTCTTAACGACATTCTGTTGCCCTATAAATCCAAGGAGATGAGTATCCTCGCTGGGACCCATTCCTGAGTTCATGCATCATCATCTTTCCAATTTCTTCCTAAAGGAGCCTTATCCATGTATCACAACCTGACAACTTTCTTTATGATTCTTCATTTATAGGCCCTGTCTTTAAGGTGGAGGTGGGAATGATCATCAAGGTCACTTTCTACAACAAAGCTTCCCTGCCCCTCAGCATGCAGCCGCATGGACTGCGCTACAGCAAGAGCAATGAGGGCTCATTCTACAAAACACCCGGCGGAGGTGAGTGGCGCTCAAGTGAGCCTCGCTGCTGTATAAAGTCAGCAAAAAATAAAACTCCTTTTATTTGTTTATTTTGTAATAAAACTCTTTATTAAATTGTTGTGCAGCCTTGATGTCTTGTCGTAACAGCTCTGTATACTATTTAGTGGCAGAGTTACTTTTCTTCAGCCCCATCCAACTGTCACCAAGGTGCTAGCTACACAGCGAGCAGGGAACAGTCCCTGCTCTCAGAGATCTCGGTCTCGATGAGGATGTTTATGGTCTTAGGTTTTATTTTCTAAAGGTTTATTTCTTCCTAGGCACCCCTCCTTCCTCCTCACATGTAAATCCTGGCACAAAATTTGTCTATACGTGGGAAGTTCCAAAAGATGTAGGTCCCACCTCCACGGACCCCAACTGCTTGACCCGGTTCTACTATTCCTCAGTAAACGGGACAAAAGACACTAACAGCGGCCTCATCGGGCCTCTCCTTGTGTGTAGAAGTGGAAGTCTGGAAAAGAATGGCAAACAGGTGAGTCATGAAGCCTGTGTCCAGGTAGCTTTGGTGAGAGGTGCCCTTGCAGAGAAGGACGATGCCTCTAGCCACAGGCACCAGGAGTTTCAACTTCTGTGCGCTGATGTCTTCAATTCTATTCTATCCTCAACTCCAGACCTGCATCCTCCTTGGTCCAATGGCCACACCATGACCACACCGGGTGGATGGTCATTGGACTGAGGAGGATAAGGTCTAGAGTTGAGAAAAGAATAGATGTCCTACAGACATCCCAAGACTAGGTGAACCCTTAATCTCCTTCTGGACAGCCACTGACTCTCCTCCCTCACCTCTTCTGTCTCTTAGTGATGTCTCGGGACCTTGGACTCCCTCAACAACTCCTTTTTTCCCACCTGCATATTAATCACTAACTCTCCAATACCACAACTTATTTTAGGCACTGCCATTTCTTTCTGAGTTTCTTCAGCCTCCTAACCTTTGTCTTCACTCTCGTCCTGCTTCAGTGTGGCTAGTCCACAGTCCTCCTGACAAATCTGATTAGAGCCCTCCGAACACACAAAAAAATCACCCCTAATTTCCTGGCTGAGAAGCCACACCTGGGAGCCTGCCAATCCCTCCAGATTCATGTCCCCTCCCACCTTATACTATGAAATTAACCTTTTCCAATTGGCAAATTAGAGTTGCAATATGGCAGAATTAGCCCTTTAGGCCCTGAGTAAGGAAGGCTACTTCACAGCTCTGATTCTTTCCTCTTCTCTCTGCTGTTTTATCTGCCAAAAGGGGAGACATTTTAAAACTCAGTCTGAGGGCCCTTTCTGTGAACAATATTCTCTGACCAAAGTTAATAGAGGCTCTTGCAAGTCGCCATAGTTCCTTGTGTATGTTTCTATTAGAGCATTTATCCATGCAATTATATTTACTGGCCTGTCTCTCCCACTAAACCATAAGTTTCTAGAAAGCATACATAAGGTTTTTATTAATTTTTTGTAACAACCACAGTGCCTGGCATGCAGTAGGTATTTAATAAATGCTTGGTGAATGAGTTTCCTTTTTCCCCCAGTCATAAATGTACTAATATCCAAGTTCCTTTCTACATTAATTTAATTAATTTTAATTAATTTCTACATTAATTACATATGAATTACAAAAATTCATATGTAATAAAGCCTTATAAATTCATATCTATGTGTATAATTAAAAATATAATTTATTTAAAACCATGAATATATATTTATATTCATTTATACAATAAAAGTCATATTAGTAGCCCAATGATTATTATAGTACATAATGGATTTTATGTTTTATATACAAATACATGTATGGACATGTAATTTAGTCAAAACCCCTAAAAATAAAGACTTTCTAGAATTCTAAACTATTGAACTTACTTCCACAGAGCATCTATGTTAAAAGTCACTGTAAATATTTGTGATTAAATAGTTTAGTTTACGAGATTTAGATGTAGTGATCTCCAGAGTAATTTTTCTATGAAGAAAGCCAGAGAGATTTTTCTCAACTTCTTAGTTCTATGATAATCCATTTGCTGGGATTCATGCCTTTCTATGAAATGTCCACAGTTGGGAAATCAATTGATTTGATTTTCCAAAAGTGTATAGTCCTCTATGGTCCACTATATAGTATAGTGAAAAATCCTAGATTCAGGCCAACCAGAGATTGAATACAGACCATCCATAATTTGTTTCCATTCTTTTTTCTACTTTCATCTACAGAAAGGAGTAGACAGAGAATTTTACCTGCTTGCCACAGTATTTGATGAAAACAAAAGTCTTCTCTTGGATGAAAATATTAAAACATTTATCACACAGCCTGAAAATGTGCATAAAGAGGATCAAGCCTTCCAAGATTCTAACAAGATGTCCTGTAAGAGGATATTTCACTTACAAGATAGATGCTTTAAACACGTATTTAATTTCGATTTGCCTAAAAATTTACAAATTAAGAGAGACCTGCATTTCCCCACAATGGTTGGCTAATACATCTTATGTTTCCTTGAAATAGCATTTCATAGTCAAAATGTTATCTGCTAGGGTAATTATCTTGAATTTAACTAACCAAATATACTTGCCAGTATCTTTTTGGTATAATACATTATTTTATCTATAGCTAAATGTGAAATATAAAAATCACATATTTCTCTGTTGCTTAATTTGTAAGATGGGTGAGGCAGTGTGTTTGCTGAGCTGGTCGGGTGGGTAGGTGGGTAGTTTGATGATTGCTGGTTTGGAAGACGATTATGCAGTGTAGTGGGGAAAGGGTTAGTCTGTGATCAGGAGACTTGGACCCTGGTCTTAACAGTTCTGCTCACTAGCTGAGTGACACTGGACAAGTCACTGCCTCGCTTGCCTTGGTCTCCTCAAGTCTAAAAGGAAGGAGTTGATGAGTTGATCCAGGAAAAGCATCACGTGGTTCTGCCACTCTCTGATTCTATAATGTCCTTGTAGCCACCTATGAATTGATTAAATAACAATAGAGGAGAAGAAAGTTGTAAATAATCACCTTGCTGTTCTTATGTGAATTAACTGCTTCATTATTAGTGCTTGAGTTTCAGAAGATACCAAGTGTCAGTAAATTAAGTACTCTTTTCTTTTGTCACAAATGTTTTGCAGCCATAAATGGATTCATGTACGGAAATCTGCCCAAACCAGAGATGTGCATAGGGGACCAAGTCTCGTGGCACGTTCTCAGCGTGGGATCAGAGGGAGATTTACACGGGATATATTTTTCAGGAAATACCTTTGTTTCTATGGGATCAAGGAAGGACACTGCAAATGTATTTCCTCATACCACTGAGACGCTTCTTATGACACCTGACTCTGTAGGTGAGTAATGGATCTTCTCATTTAGCCTCAAACACCAAAACATGCAGAAGCACCATCTTTTTATGGCATTGAATATTCTTCACGTACGCACAAAATGGAAGTGATACAAATCATGCTTGGGAACATTTTGCCCGGCTCTATTTAATTTATGGGAGCCTTTGTATCCTGTTTTCCTGTACATAAAAATCCCCTCAGCCTCTCCTAATCCTCTTCCTGGGCCTCCAGGCTTTAAATCATCCCATGCTCTTCAAAAGTGATGGAGACATTTTGAAACTCCTTAAACTCTTTACCTTGTTTTCCTTCTGTTAGCTTCTGCATTTCTTACTCTTCTGTACCTTTGTTTCTCAGGCTTTCTTCCTGCTTCAGTCTTACCCTCTTCCCTTCTGTCTTCCTCTTCCTATCTTTCTTTTTACTACCTGTGCTCTCTGGGTAAATGTTTAGCTTCAGTAAAGTTGATCCTGGCTGATTACATTTTGGAAAGAAGTCACCCTACATCAGAGAATTGTATAGGGGTCAGAGGGAATCATCTCTCCCTCTGAACCTAGTTTCCTCATTTGCAAAACTGGGACTGTAACAACTTATACTACACAAAAAGGAATAGACAATGATCAAATGAGATGAATGGAGTCTAGTAAAGTGCCTGGCATATGTCAGATGTTCAAGAAATGTTACCTCCTTCTTTAATCCTGCAAATCCACCCTCATCTCCCTCTACCCCCCAAATGTTATCTGTCTTGGTCAAAAACTACTGACACCAATGAAAAACTGTGTAATAGACCAGCTACTCTATAAATACCATGGATAGGTACCTTGAGTCATCGTGATCCCAAAGATTTCTTTGACTTAATTTCCTACATTTCAAAATTTTAAATTTTATTTTTCAAATAAACAGATTCGGGGCAGCTGAAGGGGAAAAGAAAGTGATTTCTCTCACTCCCTTTCTCTCTTCTTGCTGTGAGAAGTTACACACTGGCTCCCTCAGGGACAAGTGATTGCCTGGCCCCCCACGACTTCCTCCTCACCTTTCTCCTACAGGTTTCCCTGGAGTTAAAAATGTCCTGTCATGCTCTTTCCTAAGCAGTATCAGCTGTAGCAAACATGTAACACTCTGTGGCAAGCACTGTGCTAAATAAAGCCTTTACAGGGAGTATTTCATTCTAAATTTTTTTCCCCAAACCTTCTGAGTCTGAAGGTTTTGCTTCCTTTTCGGTCTTCTTGAAACTTACCTTCCACAAAAACTAACAGAAACATGTATAGAGTTGAAAGACAAATGTTAGCCTAGCATTAAGATATAACGCTGGGACGTGATGAACCAGCTGTTTTCATTGCAGTCATCATTTTGGATTTTTAACACAAGAGACAGATTCCTTTCACTGCCCCCACTCTACCTACCACTCTGATCCAAGCCGCCATCATTGCTCATTGCTGACTTAACAGCCTCCCCACGGTCTCCTTTCTTCCACCCTTGCACACCCCAGTTTGTTCTTAGCAAAGCTGCTACAGCATCTTCATATCTTTGTTGTCTTAAAATCCCACCATGACTTTCCATTGCACTCAGTAACTAAAGTCCACCTAGTGACCCCATGACCTGACCCTCCACTCTATCCAAATACAGGCCTATTGGGTGGTCTTTGAACACACTGAACAGCCCCCCAAGGCCATTGCTTCCTGTTTCTTCTTCCTGGATTGCCTTTCTTCTAGATCCTCACTTCTTATAAATCTTTGTCCAATGTCATCCTCCCATCCAGGCCTCCACTGATCACCCTATAAAGTAATTTGCTCCCTTGAGCCCCTCCCAACACACATTCAGAATTCTTAATCCTCCTTTACATGGCTCTACTTTTTCTTTAACTCATAGCACTTAACCATCTTTCAACATACATGAAAGTTACTTAATGTTATTATGTTTATTGTTTATCTCAACAACACCCTGCAATATAAATTCGGAGAGCAAGAATTTTTAACCATTTTGTTCTAAGATGTTTCCCTGGTGACTAAATATGTCTGGTACCAAAAAGGTACTCAATAAATGTCTGTTGAATTCATGAAAGAATGTATGAATGATCTTACTATATTTCTTTGGGGGGTTGAATCGGTATGAATGACTTTACAGAGGAAAGACATGTGCATTCAGAGCTTTAAGAATTCCTTTCTTATTCCTCCCTAGGAACTTTTGATCTGTCCTGTATGACGTCAGAGCACTACATAGGAGGCATGAAACATCAATACCAAGTGAGGAAGTGTTCGAAGCCAAACCCTGATCAAACACTGTACCTGAAGGAGACAACCATTTACATCGCAGCTGAGGAAATTACCTGGGATTATATGCCTAGCAAAAAGTGGCAGAAGGAACTGCGCCAGTTACAGAGAAAGAAGTACGGTGACAGCTCGGGTCTTTAAATGGGAAGTGTTCATTCTGAGTCTTCCACCCTTTCCTCTTAGTCACATAGGAAGTGAAAGGAACAGGAGATATCCAGTGATAAATAGCCTCAAAACCTGCATTCAATGTGTGTGTGTTTGCACATGTGTGTGATGGGTATATATATGGGTGTGGTGTGTCTGCCTTTAGGATACTTTTCAATTATAAATCACTTGTACATGTTCAGTTGCAAAGGGCTTCAAGTCTCTCTACGTATCTACACAGCTTACATTTAGACTTTATTTCTTCTCTTCTCTTATTAAATCCTTTCTTCTTCCTGTAGGTATGTTACCATCTGATTTCACCACAGGCGTAGTAACCTAACTCCAGCTAATAATACCTTCAGCATTTGGAATCAGATTTTTGTCCTGCTTCGTTTGTTTCTATCTCTTATGTTTTTCTAGGAACTTCAAATGGAAGACATTGATTTTTCTCTTTTTGTAAAATTCTATTTCGTGGGTTTTCTCTTACTGTTTATTCATGTATCACATGAAAATTTTATCCTAAAACTATCTTAAAATACAGAATGAATATCTAACTATCTTGTTAAAATGAATATAAAACATAAAGGCTTCTTTAAAAAAGAAGACTTACTTTTCTGGGTAAAAGCTTCCAGGTATAAGTCCTTCCATCTGAGTTCTTTGTCTAATTTAATGATATGTGAACTAAATTTGAGGTTTGTTGGTTTTGTTTTTATTTTCTTAAAGTGAAACCAGCATGTATACAGACAGAAATGGAATGCATCTTGGGTCTAAATACAAAAAAGTTGTATACCGTCAATACAAGGATGGCACATTCACCAGTGAAACAGAAAGAAATGAAGATGAGAAACACCTGGATATACTAGGTATTGATGTGCATAAGATTAGCTTTGGGGTTTTTCTTCTTGTCCTCAGTCACTAGATACTGTTGTATACATGAAGACCATTGTCATTCTCCACCTTGACAGAGGACAGTGTCTGTAAGTCTAACTAATTTGTTTGCTGATAGGCATTTTTTACTGGTGGAAACATTGGTTCATGTATTATTTTCCCCCAGAGACTGTAGAATGTTGATGTACTCAGTTTCAGATTACCTGGCTTCTGGACTTTGGAATTCAAGAATTTCTAGATCCAGATTGGACTTTAGGAGTAGTATTTAGGGATAATTTCAATAAAATTAAAACAAAGCCTAGGGAACAGCAATGCAATGAGGAAAGGAACTTTTTTGTTTGTTTTTATTGTTTGTTTGTTTGTTTGTTTGTTTTGAGACAGAGTTTCACTATGTCTCCCTCTGTAGAGTGCTGTACTGTCACAGCTCACAGCAATCTCAAATTCTTGGGCTTAAGCCATTCTCTTGCCTCAGCCTCCCAAGAAGTTGGGACTACCGGCACCTGCCACAATGCTGGCTGTTTTTTGTTGTAGTTGTCATTTTTGTTTTTAACAGGCTTGGGCCAGTTTCAAACCTCCAGGCCCAGTGTATGTGGCCGGCACCCTAGCCACTGAGCTATGGGCGCTGAGCCAAGGAAAGGAACTTTGTTTAAATTTAAGTGTCTTCTCTTATCCTCCTCCCACAAGTGAAGAAAAGTATAACCCTTTCTTCCACCCTTTGAGAGATTAGGGAGGAAACCCGAGTCACACCCAGGTACCCCCATGTGACTTTTTCATGTGCCTGACTCCTATGGGTGTATTTTAGAGGTCACTTTCTGGTGTGGGACCCTGAGAAGATGGATTTACATGTGGATGGGGAGGAACTGTCACTCTTCTTGGCTCCTCACCAGCATCTAGTGCTGGTCCCTGTGTGAGCCCTGGAGGGAAGTCTGTGCTATCCAGTTCCCGTTCCTTTGGGGTCCTTATCTTTAGTAGCCACAGGATGTTTGTTTTCTCCAGGATTTTGGCTGAACACATGAAGATAAATAACATAACATGACCCTCTCATGTCTAATATTATTTATGCAGAAAGGGAATCACTTTATGGAAAAGGAAAAGGAAGTTTATTGTCTGAGAAGGTGAAATCGTCATGGTAGGCAAAGAAGCCCATCTTTAGCTGGCATCTGGCACCCACCGGGCATCTTCACTGGCTGTGATTATTAGAAGTTATATTGCGAATTAAGGATAGTTCTAGCTGCTTATTCCATCTCAACTCTATTTGAAAATTTTTAGGACCAATGATTTAATGTGCTTCCAAACGGAAAGAAGATTTGTTGCAGTTTTTGGCCGGGACTGGTCTTGAACCCACCACCTCTGGTATGTGGGGCCAGTGCCCTACTGCTTGAGCCATAGGGGCTGCCCTAAGAAAGAAGATTTGAAATATGTTTTATGCTTCCAGTTCTTGGCCTGGGATGGAAAGGATGAAGAGTAAAATGAAAGGGTCTTCACCCTGTAAGGAGGAAGATCAGCCTGGGTCAACCAAAGGCCTCCCAGCTCCTCACAATCCTCCACTGGGGCAAAGGGCCAAGAGAACAAAAGGCTTAAAAGACGAGGTTACTCAAGAAGGACAAAAAAGAGCTTTATTTAAAAAGTGTAGAGTTTCCTAAGCATTAACTGATGCTCATTAAAGAAAATTTTCTAGGGAAGGAGCTTACAAAAATTCTAGATGATTTCAATTTTTCAGGCAAAAAATCACGTTTCATAAATCAGCAGTGATCTCCTAATTAAATGTTTTTGTTTTATTTGGCTGCATATTAAGTAGAAGGGTAAGAGTAAGTCACTGTGTAAACACTTACGAGGACAGATGACTCATAGTTTACAATTACTTATACATTTTCCTTTTATATTCTTTAGGTCCATTAATATTTCTCAACCCCGGTCAAAAAGCCCGAATTGTCTTTCAAAATAAAGCCTCAAGACCATATTCTATTCATGCCCATGGAGTGAAAACGAGCAGTTCCTCTGTTGTTTCAACTCAGCCAGGTAACTACTTTGGGAGAAAAAAAAAATCCCCCATGTTTTATTGCAGGTCTCTGGGGCTTTTTTTCTTTTTAAAATACAGGTGTAGCTCCAGATTCGAGAAATCAGGGGACTAGTAAGAAGAGCTTGGAGAAAGAGTTTGGGAGGGAAGTTCTTTTTGCTTCCAGGTCGGGACACCATGGGAGGAATGGTGCATGAGTGCTCGGTCTACAGAACCCCATCCCTCGTGCACACAGTCTGTCCTCCAGGGTCACCCTCCCCGCCACCTTGGTACCATGTTCGATGTCCCCAACCCACGTGCTGCAGTGGGAGTTGAGTACAAGATACAGCATGTGAAGGAGGGGGTGGGGGAGAGTTGAGCCACTAAGGGGAAGTGGTGGACCCCACGTGATAACACGTTCCACAGCATCCCCACTCTACAGCATACTCGACTTTTAAATAAAAATGCCCAGTAAGCAGACTCTGAAATGACGCTTTATGTGCGGACAGTGCTCCGGGGATCAACGATCATGGAAAGAAAAGAGAAAGAAGTAGGACAGGGAAGGGGAAGAGGGAAAGTTGAGTAGAAATGCGTCCTCCATAGAAGTCACAGCCAACCCTGCAGGAAGGCCCGGAGATAGAGTGAGCCTCAGCTGTCCCACGCCAGGCTGAGAGAGCTGAGCCTTCACGCCTCGGCAGTCATTGTCTGCAGGCTGGAGCGAGGTGCTCTCTTTAGGCAAAGCTGGCACTAATCAGGCTTGACTCCTGCTATAGCAACAAGTCCTTTAATCTTGAAGAGGGACCTGAGAAAGTCATCCAAATGTCACTATCGTTGCCCATTAAAACAAGTAGCTTTGGAAATTCAGAGTATCAATGAAAGACAGATTCAGAAAAGAAAGAGTTGTAAAAGGAAAACTGAAGATAGACTTTGATGGTGGGTAGAATAGTCCCTGGAACTGTGGAAAACAAACAGTCCTAATGAATCTCCTATCCAGGCAGTTTGCAAGTCCGCCCTCTCTTTGATTAGTCAGGAAAGAATCAT